AATTAAAGAGACCTCTTCAAAAAGGGGCCAGTACAAGGCTGGAACCCAGTTGGCTGACCGCAATTGGGACCAGCTTAACAGTTGGTTGCCTCGTAGCATAACAGCCTTGCAGAAAGGACAGTTGAACCCAGCTTTGTACGAATACACGTACAACTGGGCATGGAGATGCTCCCACCTGTCACAAGACATGGATTTCGATATTGCTTTGCGTAAGCTTGCTCACCTGGGAGCCCCCGCTTGAAAAATACGTCTCATCTGCTGATGATGAAGGTGAACATGATGATGATCATGATGGTCATGATGACAGTGAGAATAGTTACGGTCATGATGTTGAGGATGATCATGATGTTGATGATGAACATGTTGATGTTGATGTTGATCATTATGCATCTGATGTTGATGTTGATATTGCTGACGATGCTAGAGTTTCCTTTTTTGAGCTTTTTCAATTCCCCCCTAGAAAATGTTTGAAAAGTGACGACAGTCGCTGGGCCTCTCAGATGCCCGGCACCTTGTTTATGAATCTATCTGGGTATTTATCCACCTATCTATCCATTTGTCGAATCTAGTTATCTTTCTATCTATTTGTTTATCACGATAGCTAGCTTGCTACCTGGAGTTGGGTTTTCTTTAGCAACGAATTCAGACTGGACGCAACTGCCATGATTTTTCCACGCGTTCGCATCATGCCCGCGCACCCACATATACAAGATGATATTCACCGTGAGTAATGTGAATGTAAGGCAGTGTAATGCAATGTAACGCAACCTAATGCAGTACAATGCCATGCAATGCAAGCTAATCTAACCTAACGTAACGGTATCTAATCTAATACAATGTAATGTAATCAAATCTACTGCAACGTAACCCAATGCAATGTAATCTACTCTGACGTAATGTAATGTAGCGTATTGTAATGTAGCATAGGGCGCAAAGTAATGTAATGTAAGTAACGTAATTTAATGTAATGTAACGTAACGTAACATAATGTAATGTAAGTATGCAAATGCAATGCGTTGCAATGCAATGTAATGTAGTGTAAGCATGCATTGCAGTGCAATGTAGTGTAATGTAAGGTAAGGTAAGGTAATGTAGCGTAGTGTAATGTAATGTAGTGCAAAGTAGCGGAATGTAATGCAACGTAATATAATGTAATGCAATGTAATGCAACCAAATGTAATGTAATGTAATTTAATGTAGTGTAATGTAAGTATGCAATGCAATGCAACGTAATCCAATGCAATGTAAGGTAATGTAAGGTAAGGTAATATAATGTAACGTAGCGTGCTTCGCGCCACAATGCCGTGCACTTTTTGCACATCTCAACTTCCAAAAGTGCTCCGAACCGGTCACTTTTTAACACTTTTGATTTCGAAATGTGCTTTGCGCCACGACGGCTGACATTTTTTGAGCACCTGAACTCCAATTCTGCTTCGCGCCACAACTGCGTGCAATTTTTCATCTCTCATCTGGCCAGATGGCTTCGCACCCGCCGCTTTATCAAGCCTACTTTTCGACCTTCCGGGGCTTGAAAACATTGGCAAAACACAATCTGCATCTTATTTCTTCTGACTCTTTCTCTTCTCTTCTCTTCTCTTCTCTTCTCTGATCTTCTCTGATCTTCTCTGATCTTCTCTGATCTTCTCTGATCTTCTCTGATCTTCTCTGATCTTCTCTGATCTTCTCTTCTCCTTCTCTTCTCCTTCTCTTCTCCTTCTCTTCTCCTTCTCTTCTCCTTCTCTTCTCTTCTCTTCCCTGACTCTTCCCACCTCTGGTTTTTCACCTGCATATTTTCGGATGTTTGACTTCTAAACTTCCTTCGCTAGTATAGTAAACTTATGTAAATTTCAAGCCGAACAGTGAAGCGCACCGTGAGTTGCACTTTTCACCAACAGCTTTGGATTTTTTGATTCATTTAGAAAGGTTGGTTGTTTTACACTGCTTGTTACATCTTGTGATAGCACTCCGCGATCTGACTGCGCAGGTGTAGTTGGAACAGTGATGTCCCAGAGTTTGCAAGCTCAACCGACAAATCGTTTCTTCATCGCACCTTGGCATCAGATGCATCAGTCTTTGTTCGGCATCTTGTCGGGCTGATAGTCTTGAAATGTATTGAAATAAGGAGACCATTTGCTGATTTGTGGTTTCCATATTTGCATTTTTTTTTCCCTTGTCTTCAGCCTTATTTGGGATGATTGCCTCAGTTACCACTATCTTTGGCAATTTTGGGTATGTCGAAAACAAACAGCAAAAATGTGTGGAACAACATGTTCAGCCGGCGAAGGTGATGCTGGCCTTCCTGTGCTGGCCCCTGTTTGTCATGGAGATTCGGTGTGAGACTCTCCGGCACCCAGGAATGGATAGGAATTCAGGAATCGTGTTTTGTGCCTGTTTGCAACATAGTAAGGGCGGCGATATGAGGAGGATACGTTTTAGGGTTTCCCAATTTCCCTTTTAGTGATTCTGCCCAAGACTATTTTGGTGCCTTGCATTTCTTGGAAACAGGCAAGGTCGCGTGCATCAATGACTAGTAAAGATCCACCCATTGGCTCGCCCGATCCAAGGAAAGCTTTAAATCACTGATGATGTCAACTTTTTGTGCTGCCACCCTGAGACATCTCTCAACACCTTTGATGTGGATACTCGGGTGTGTTTAGCTGCCCCCGTTTTTGTTTTTCCTCTGCATATATTTACTTTTCTATATATATATATAATATATATATATAATATATATAATATATATAATATATATAATATATATAATATATATAATATATATAATATATATAATATATATAATATATATAATATATATAATATATATATAGAATATATATTATATATATTATATATATTATATATATTATATATATTATATATATTATATATATTATATATATATTATATATATTATATATTATATATATATATTATATATATATTATATATATATTATATATATATATTATATATATATTATATATATATTATATATATTATATATATTATATATATTATATATATTATATATATTATATATATTATATATATTATATATATATATATATTATATATATTATATATTATATATATATTATATATATTATATATATATTATATATATATATATTATATATTATATATATTATATATATTATATTATATATTATATAATTATATATTTATATATACATATATATATATAATATGCACAGACACACACACATATATATAATATCATGTACGTGCCAGACCCAGACATTATTTTTATAGCATATTTTTTGCAAAAAATCTGTGGCAAACGGGGGCATATGGTGTGTGATATGTGATACGATATGATGACATGGTTCTGATATGTTTTGATATGTTTTGATTTGATCTGACTTTTTGAATATGTATATTTTAGGTAACTCCTTAACCGCTAGCGATTGACGCGGAGAAGCACACAGCAAATCCATTCTCAATCTGTTGGTCAAGGTTTAGGCTAGCATTAATTACCTTAATCACGCCGCCACCCTGCCATTCCTAGGAAACTGTTCGATGGAATCATCTCCAGCGAGGAGATTGGACTATTGGTGCAGGCGAGAGTTCATAGAAAGCAGGAGCGACCCCTCTGCATTTGACCCCCCCTCATCTTGAAGGGCCAGTTTGAACAGAACTTAACATCCAGCGGAGCCTTCCCCTGTGTGTCGCTTAGTTGTTGATGTGAGGGCCCAAAACCCTGTAAAACAGCAGGTATCATTGATGTGACATCCCCAGAGCACTTGAGAGCTGATATGAACGAGTTATGAGTTGAGTCCGTGCCTCTCGTATGTATGTTAAGATCACTCAAGAGGGATTAAGAGCTACTATGAAGGGTTTTGAGTCACTATAAAGGATGATGATGGGTTTTAGAGGCACACTAAAGGATTGTTAGGCCTTTATAGGCTCTTTAGAGTAGTTATTTGACTTACCTGCTCCCACCCCCAGATAATTAAGGAGGGTCACACCCAAGGGAGTAGCAACTGCTTTCTGGTAAAAAGACTTTAGCTCCAAAGAATCCAAGTGATGGTGTCTGAACCTGTTTATTATTTTGGTATTATGTGTATATAGTAATATATATATATATATACATATGTATAATAATAAAGTAATAATAATAATAATAACACACACACACATATATATATACATATGTTAGTTCATGTTTGTTCCATAAGTGTGCCTGCGATTTAAACCTGCAATTTACAGATTGTCTATCTCCCGCTTCCCTCGTGGCGGAAGTGGTTGGCCATGTTTGGCGATCTCGCCAGGCTTCCGCCTACTTCGAAATCGTCCTAGGCTTCGTGGTGCCAATCACTAGTGGCATTTTGGGCTTTTATGGCTTTGGCAACATTTTCCTCACAGTGACTTAGCTGATCTTAGCTGCCTTAAGCATTCTGCAGCTGCCTTAGTTGCTTGAGCCGAAACAGAGGAAGCTGGAGACAGGAAAGTCGAGATATGTCAAGACAAGTAGCTAGCACAAATGCCTTCTTGAGAATGCTAGTGAGGGCAAAAAGGTTTGGGATGGTTTGGGTTTGCTCGCATGACAGTGCCAGATACTGCGAGTATCACTCGTTGCTGGACCTTAAATAAGGCGATTTGCTGTCTTTTGCTCCTCATGCTGGCGACACTCCCGAAGAGAAAGGCTGACTAAAGGCCATTTGGATCCACTTGGAGGGAAGTTGGCACACGTGCGCCATTTGCAACATGATTGAGACCAAGAGTTCTATACCAGCTGTGTGCGTTCTTTATCTTTCTGTGGTATTGCCTTAGTGCTGCTAAGTTGCCTGTAGTGAAAGTTCTCGAACATGCTTAGCCTGAAAACATGTCCATAACCTCATGAGCTTGAACAACTTGCGACGGATTCGAAAGGCTAGGGTTTTGAGTCTTGCATGAACTTGATTTGGGAACCGGTGAAATCATTCGAGAGCAAACTATACTCAGCTCAATGTTCCGGGCTGCTGAAAACCCTCACTCATGTGCTACTGCATCCAGGGTCCAGCAATCTTAGCATCTCTCAGCTTCCATTCAGATCAGTCAGGTTAGCAGATAAACCCTGGAACTGCCAATGGCAGCAGTGAGCAGCTGGGGGTGTGTCGTTCAACAGTTTTTCTGCCATTGTGACGGAGAGCTTCCACACCGAAGAGTGGGACAGCCCTTGACATAGACAGGTTGCCACAAATTGTGGCTGTGGTACTATTGGTACTTGGAGTATGTCCTTGTCTACCATTTCGAGCTGTGTTGTCCAGACCCAAGTGTGTATACCATCCTCAGATTTGCTTGTGGTTTGATGTTTGATCTTTTGGTATTTGCCCTATTTAAAACCGTCTCCGTTTGCATATTTTCATTTCGGGGGTCTGGACATTCAGCCAATCTACACCAGTTTTGAAGCGAGTCGGCCTCCGACCAAACAAGGGACCTGCTGTCATGGCTCCTGGGTTGGGGGGATCACGGCTGGGCACAGGTTGATGGTGACCTGGTGGTTCATCGTGGTTCATCCCGTGCCACAGGAGGTCCAGATTCATGGGGAGGTCAACCTGAAGAAACATGTGCAGCGCCTGGTGGCCGCCAGCAAGTACCGTGACGTGCCCAAAACGCAGAGGCCGGTCCAGTTGCACCGCAACGACAGATGCTGTTCTGCATAGGCATATCCGGCATACAGCTTTGCCTCATCGCTTCTGTAGTGTCTCTAACGTGTCTAATTAAGCATGATCAAATCATAGAATGCGCAGGATTTTGAAGCAGCTTTGAAAACTGCTTGAAACTTGGCCTAGCTCGCTCGCTGCATGTTGAGTATGCTGTATGCTGCAGGTCCTATGCTGTGCGAGTGACAGGCCCTGGAAAAGTTGCTGGCAAGTACGAGAGGATGGGTGCACACGCTGGCATGCCGCTCTACCAAGGTGCCTTCATGTGCCTTCTAGGGCCTCTAGGGAACACCAACAGCTGCAACAGCTTGGAGATGCTTAGAGCATTCTTGAGAAGAGAGTTTGAGGATGCAGCATGATGTAGCTGCACCCGGGCTGATATTCCATCAATGTGCACTTTCAGATTTCATCAGGACAGTGTGTTCTTTCGTTAGTTTTGGTTTGAGTCGCGTGAGTTGCTGTATCATGCCGCGAAGTTTATTCAGTTTATTCTTCACAACCATTTGCCAGTTGCGCTGCATATTGAAGAGAGTCAGAGCAGGTACATGCAGGTACTATGCCTTGCCTTGCCCCCATGACAGAAGTTCAGCATAACACTCAAGGCATCTCAAGGCTTAGCCCCCAAGTTTGATCAAGTTTGGCTTGAAGGTGAGCAAGGACAGAAGATCCTCTATGACCCAGGTGCTGTTCCAGGGGATATATGAGGACGACTCACCATGATTCACTATGATTCATCCACTCAACATTGAAGATGTCCCGGTATTTGCAGCACATGAGAACTTCATTGCAATATGGTAAACTATGGTAACATGATGTAACATGTGGATATTGACACAATACTAGAATAAATAATATGAATTTATACATTTTGCAACTGCCTTCTTGGAAACTTAGCTAACCCATGCTAATCCTAGCAATTTTGCTTGGAGTGTTGTGTGGCTTCAATAGTTGCATATGTTGCATAATGTTGCATGTCAGGTGCAACGGGTTGGAATTCCTCCAGCCAGGCAGTGGAAGATGGAGAATGGTCCTGTCGGACGAGGACTGTCCTTTTACGGCAGCAGCATCCCAGCAACGATTGGCTCATGGGTGTCATGACGCTCCATGGATGGTTGGAGCTCCGGCCATATCCCAAACATACAGGGGATTACAGGGGTCTTGTGTAGGTCAGAATGGTTGATCTTAGTGTCTTAGTGGATGAGGTGCCCTGTTTTTTTCCTTTTGGGAAGACTGCCACATGTCTTAGGCTTCCTTGCCCTGATGGCTTTGGGCTTTGGCTTCACTTAGGTACAGCCTGGCGTCGAGGAACCTCCACGAGGCGGCTGGGAAGCACCCGAGGAGTCCTGGGGATTATTGCCTGTGGAGATTTTCAAAGCTGCGCCTCGGCTAAATGACGGGTCCTGCTTTGGCATGAGAATACCGTTAAGGCTGCAGCAATCCACTTGGAGAAATTATGGGTTGCGCAGCTCAATGTCGTTTTGAGTTTTTAAAGTAGATATAGGATGATGTAGGCATATGTAGGCATTGGCAGAATCCAGCTGTGTTTCCCAGCACTCTTGGCAGGGATTCAAATCGTGACAATTTGCGAGCAGTTGGCGCCAAACTTTTGGGTCCCAGATCGCCAAGGCTGTTTCTTCCGTGCGCCCTGTGCCAAACTGCTCACGCGGACATAGTTTGAAGCCTGACAAGCGCACGGGACATTCCTGTCGCTTGCTTGACATTAAGAAAGCGTATCAGAACCAGAAGTAAGCAAAGTCTCCCTTGGTGAGGACATGCCATGAATTGAGTCCGGTTTTGATAATTATATATAATTTTGGTGGGTTCCACTGCAGTGAGAATTGGCCTTCAGACCTTGGGTGTGGGAGAATGGCCGGGCTTTAAGCACTTGAACGCCGTTGGACATTATTGGACATAGGCCATAGGCCAAGACTGTGTGCCATGTTTCTGGGTTGGAAAGGGAGGTGCAGAATGGTTCTGATGCCTGATTATGCATTCATTTATTGAATTATATAATAGTTATATACTAGTTTTTTTAATAAAAATAAATAAATTATTACTATTATTTTAGATAAATAAATAAACAAGCATATAAATAAATAAATAACCATATATATATAAATATATATACATAATATATATATATATATGCACATGGGATAAAATGATGAACGGTAAAAGCATGTCACGTGGCAAGTGGAACCCAAGGGCAGCATGTTTTTGTTCGTTGCAACATGTTGCAGCTGGGTGTTGCTGGAAATGTCTTCCGCAATCCAGGTGACCTCTGTGGAAAGTCTGGCACGGACTATCGATGCCCAGAAGGGACATGTGACTATGATGCTGGGTTGAGATTTGTTGAGATTTCACACATGGTGCTGGTATGTATCTGGTATGTGCTGGTTTTGCTACTGCATGTTTCATCTCATGCACATTTGATGCCATTTGTCACTGACACAATTGAACTTGTTGACCTTGCAACGTGCAGATGGGTAAGTTTTCTGCCAAGGGATAGACGCTAGTTGGAATCTTCTGCATGCTTTGTTTGCTGAATAATGCATGCATGAATTATATTCGTTCTCATCATTCAGGGCTGCAGCCCACGCAGCACGTGGTCCAGGCCAAGTGCCATGTTTCCTTCTACAAGAGTCACACGTATATTTGCGCATGCACTGCTTTTCAAGGACCTTTGCGCTTCATGCTATGCTCAATCGTTGGGGTCCTTGTTTGGTGCTGTGGGTCTGAGACAGTTGGGCAAAAAAGTCAAAGCATGTCAAACAATGGCCGAATAAATATGCAGTGCATTGAAGGCCAGCTCTAGACCACCATTATAAATTATAAATATTAACATTTTGATAGCTTTTGATATGTTTCATTTGGAAGCTGTGTTTGTGCAGCAAAAAGGATGTCGGTTTGGTTCACTGAAGGGTATTGACAATATTGATGGCTGTGACATGCTGTGACTCTTGAAAAGCCCAGAACAATCCTGTAGAGCACACGAGGCTGGAAAGCGCAGAAACGGAAGCAAAGGGCATAACCGAGGAACAGCTGTCAGAGTTGCTCTCCAAGCTCCAAGGGCAGGTGCCGGGAACAGCGGGACATACTTGGACTATCTTGGATTACTGACCCTCATCTCAAGCATTTTCAGCCAATCATTAGAAACTAGTGATGGAATGTGATGGACAATAATTGATGAATTAAATTGTACATTTGGTATCATTTGGTATCATCTGGTGCAGTGAAACCTTCAGAATTGAGGATTTTCCTTATGATTCAGGTTCAAAAGTTTATCAATTTAGATCCTACTGGTATAGGCCCTTTAAAACACCATGCATTTCTATACATTTCTCATTCTATCCCAAATTTCATCAACAAATCTGATCCACAATCAGCTCCAACAGATCAGGACCCGGTCACTGGGGCGTCGGTCGTCTTCCGGCGCAGAGACAAAGCCGACTTGGGAGTCTTGGCCGCACCAGCGAGGTTAGGAGCAGCAAAGGCTGAAAGAATTGCGAAATATGAGGGGAACATGAACATGTGATTTAACTGAGTTAACTTTCAAAGATGGTGATTTTTCATGATTTATCCACCAAACACTGGGATTTAACCATCGGACATTGCGAGCTGTCCACTAGATAAATGAAACTCATATGACTCATATGAATTATGAACACAAAATGGGTAAGGTCAAAGATCGGTTTACTTGGTCTGGGACACTAGGTTGGACTAGTATCTATATAGCTGAATATAGCTGAATCTAAATACAACCCTTTCCTTTTCGCAACTGTCCCCATCATATTCATCTCGTCCTCAACCTGAAGGCCTCCTCAATATCCTCAATGAAGCCTCTACAAGCCCGGTCAGCCTCGCCTGCAATTTCTGAGTGCAGGCCTTTGTCCGACATCCAAATGCCGAGGCACGGAATGGCCCAAGATTGCTCCCAGACTTGGCCACGCACAGGTTGGGAGCGGATCAACTTTGGAATTGTGCCAACTTTTCCCAACTTTGTCTAATTGATAGGTCTGCGGCTTCTCAAAAGCTTGGGGCGATGCAAAGTTGGTTTCACACTTTGAAGCCACATTTGGATACACAATTTCTACATAGCCCTCATCGGATCACGGGAAAAAAAGGTGGTCATGTCGAACGCCCCAGGAGCTGTGGCTCGAAGGCCTGGAGAAGCTGAAAGCAAAGCTCCAGGAGGATGCCGGCTTCAGCACCTTGGAGCCAGCTGGAGCTGGAAGGATCTATGGAAGGGTCATGGGTTTATGATGGTTTATGGCATCCTAGTCTATAGCTCATAGGATCCTACGAGATTTTATGGGATCCTATGGTATATTATGCACACACACACATATATATATATATATCCGTGTGTGTGTACGCACATGTTCAAAGTGTTTTGGGCTTCGCCAGGCTACGACGGGTGTTGAGTCAGAACTAGGGAGATGTTTTGTGGAGACATGGGACAGATTGGATCAGATTGGGACAGTGTCAGGTCAGTGTCAGGTTTCAGATCTTGGCCTTGACTTGAGGTATGGGACGGGTGCTGGAAACCAATCACCCGTACGATGCCAAACGCTTCAGCTGGCGAAAGGAAGTGAATCTCAACGGTGCCGATGCTCTGGAGGTGTTCTTTCATTCAAGGCATCAGGGTTGCATGGGGTTGCATGCTACTTCAATCTGCTTCATGAAATTCAACGAAACAAACACGAAACAAGCAAAGAAAAGCACAGCCGAATCAAACAAAGATCATCCGGACCCAGTAGGACGCCGTGGAAATCGGACCCCAAGACCTGGATCGGCCACCTGCGGCAGGAGTTCCACTTTGGACCAAAAGGCGCGCTTCAAGATCTTCAGCGGTGGCCTTCGGCGAATGTGTGCCGGGAAGTTCAGCCGTGTGGAAGTGGCCGTGCCAGGTGAGATGTGGGGAATCGGAGCAGCAACCAGAGAACTTCAAAATCCACAAGAACTCATACTTTGCGCCCAATGGCATCACATACAATGATATCGGACATCGTTCTGGCCATGAAATGGAAGGAGAGAGGTGCTTCGGACTCTTCAAATCTCTTCAACGAGTTCTCTGTGTGTGTGTGTGTGTGAATAGAACATAAATGAACACAATGCCAAATGTAGATAAATGTAGCAACTTGCTTCCTGTATGGTGAAACATGGTGAAACATTGCAGCACGCACCAAAATCCCACAGTTTGCCCTCCAGGCAGCAGCGACAAGGTCTGGGGCACTGTGCTGGAGCGGGACGAAGCTGCAGGCGAGCTTTGGTCAATCACCAGATATCACCAGGCATTTGTTTCTGGACCCACAACGTTGTTTATGTTTAAAGGTATCAACTCAAGAACTTTGACCATCTTTGACCCATCCAACATTGGTTTCCCGTACACGTGAGAGACTCCTGACGATCCAATTCAATGATATAGTTTTGACCAATTTGGGGCAAATACAGACCTCAACTATTTGGACATATGAGCACAATCTTCCAGGGAACATGAGCGAAGACTACGAAGAACCCCCCCGGTCAAGGGATCTTCAGATATCTTCAGTCTTGGAACATCTCCACCAGTCTTCACCCGTTCCATGTCCAGGGAAGTGGATTGTGCACTTGGACACTGAAGTTCGGCCATCGCAGTCTGAGCACATTGGCTGCTGCGGGTGGCGGGATACCCACTGACTTTTCACGATTGACCGAGCCACATGTGCTGTCCATAATTCATGTGGGACACCCAAATATGACAGACATGATATGACATAATATGACTTAATACAACCCATCCATACCCATCCTCAATTTTACATAATTTTACCAGAAATAGGTTGCATTCGGTATGCCATACGCCATCCATGATTCCCTGTGGCTCTGAGGGAAACATCATGGCCTGCAGTTGGGGAAGAGCTGGAGGCCAAGAGCAACGGCCTTTGGCATCGTGCGACAGTTGCAGAGATAGGCCAGGGATGGCCTGGGAATGTCGGAATGTGGAGGAAATGGATGGAAAGTGCACAGATATGCACAGATTGCCACATGATTTTGATACATACTTTGTAAATCTTTGAAATACTTTGTAGCTATATCTAATATTCTATAGATTCTATGATTTCGTCATTTCATGTTCAAACACAATCTCGGCCATGATTTGTGAAACACTTTTTTTGGTTTGACGCCCACCCAAGTGGTGTTTGATGTGACCGACAGAAAAATCCTGCTTCAGGTGAGGATGGCACCTATTTGGTGGACTGGTTTGATCGGGATGAAAAGGACCGCGGCTTGGAGAGAGAGAGAGAGAGAGAGCTGCAACCTTTCTGAACAGTGTTGTTCCATTGATTGCTATGTGGGAAACCACATAATTCAACATATGCCAACAAAAATGCAAAACATAAATATGGAGGGAGATATATTTGCACGCACACATACATATATTAAAGTATAATGGACCTATCGTGTTCCAACTGGTGCATTACACTTTCCGCGCACCGGGATGTCATGGTCGGTCCGTGTATAATTTGTGTACGGCCCCTGCTTGAGGCCACCAACGTGAATTCTTTTTGTCAGGATCGGAAGAAGACAAAAAAGGAGCTACGGAAACCAGTGGAAAGATGCTTGGTTGGATATGGCAGCAACCATGATGGAACGTGTGGCACCTCGAGAATGCTTGTAAAAAATAAGTAATTGATTACATATATATATATGTATATTTATTGGAGGCACACAACTTGTAGGTGCGCATTGCATCATTTGTCACCATCATCCACCATCCCAGCATGAACTGCCGCATGCTTTACGTTAAGAGGGCCTCTTTTGTACAGTGTCAACTGATGATCTTGAAAGGCTCCAGCAGCAAAAGGGTACAATGCATATCGACGCATGCATGTCACGTGCATGTCTCGCGTGATAATGTGATATGTGTGATAATTTGTATATATGTGATACGGATTTAATTATATGCCATTAAACAAAGGCGGTTTGTTCTTAAATTGCAGTCATCCAAAGTCTCCATATATCCAAGCACTGCACTGGAAGCTGTTTCGTCACTTTCGTCTTTCAGGACCTTTCGACCATCGCAGTTTGGAAGATATTCCTCGCTTTTCAACTTTCCAGGTGCAGATTGCGCGGCGATGATACACGAACTGCGTTTCATCTTGGCTCAATACTCTTCACATCTCTTCACGCACGTGGGCACTAGCAAAGACCTTGCCGCACTATAATGCACTATAATTATACCTTTAAAAGGCAGGTTTATTCTCAAAATTGCCTTTAATTTTTCATGACCTGAAACTTGGAATGGCATTGACATTCACTGTGTAAGATCGCAGATGCCAAGATCTCCCTTTCGTCGCTCCCAGGGCAAGTTGTGCAAAGCCATTTGCCTCGAGCAACCTGTGACGAAGCACGTGAGATTTGCAGCTGGCACAACGGAGGCTGGACGGCTGGAGTCTGCTTACTGTGCTGGGACTGCGACTTTGGTGTGCGATACTCTTCCATTGCAAGTGGCTCAATGTCAATCAAATCAATCAACCATTCAATCTAAAATGACATGATGACACTGGTCGCGAATATGCACGCGCACACACAATCATTTGCTTTTACATGTTTGGGTGGTATCATGTGGTATCTATTGAAGTGTTTATATAGCATAATTCCTTCTTGCAATTTTTACACAGTGGGATAGATTCAGTGCAAACAAGACTGCAATACAGTACAAGCAAAGCAGTGCAGATTGCTCTGCATTTGCATCACGCGTGTAGGTCTGGCGTTGCTATGTTTGATTGTTTTGCGGTTCCAACAATATCATCAATATATCAATGGCAATTCAATACGTGGACGTTCCAACTGGAGAAGTTCCTTTGGAGAAGTTCCTTTCAGCTGGCTCTGCATACTCCATAGTGACTCTGGGGCATTGGCATGTACAGTATCAGCGCCCTATCAGCAACCTCTTAGTAAATTTGTTGGCAACCTTTTTTCTTTTCCATGAGCATTCCATTTAGCATTCATTCATTTCCTGCAAGTTTCGACCTTGAAACTAGCCAGATCCGGCCCATGTGCAGGTTGATGAGCAAGGAGTCGGTCGCATGGTGGGTGATGAAATCGCAGAGTCTCTTGGGTGACGTTTGGCACCGCATTTGTGGTAAAGGATGTAAAGGGGACTGTTTGACCTTCCCGGGTTCACCTGGTGGCCGCAATGGGTGGATGTGGTATGCGTTGTAGACATTGGATTGTCATTGTTTGTAAGTGGATAGTTGACCAGACATTGCACAAAAGATACCATGGACAGCAAGCAGATGAGTGAACTTAGATGAACTCAAATCAATTGAGATGAACTACTGATGAACTGAGATAAACTGAGATGAACTACTGATGAACTACTGATGTCAGGTTTGCTCTTGACCTATCCTCGCCCTTGGCCCCCTTGAGCATCGCCTCCTTCGCTGGGCCGGGACCTGCCCAGGCGCCGCCTTGTGGCTAGAAGAAAGCTACCATACAGCTACCAATTTGATCCAATTTGTGATGTTTCCTTCAGAGCTACAGTATGCTACAGGATGCTACAGGGTCCTTTTGTTCCCTCCAAGCCTTGAAGTCTCTACGCTAGGAGGGAGGTGTTGGAGTTGGTTGGTACCTCGATCTTTGTGCTACTTTGGGCGGTCCCTCGAAAGCTCAGCTCTCGAAAGTCTTTGATTGCCTTGGTGGAGGCTCAGCAGCTATTTTGATTCGTCTTATTTCTCGGTGAACCTTCCATTTTGCATCCCAGCTTGTGCGATTGAGAATGTTTAGATATATCGAAAGCAGCTTTCATGTCTTGAATGAAGTGCCAGGACTCAGTGACTTGGATTTGATATTTGACTGGTGATGACTGGTGATGACTGGTGTAATTTGTAGTAAATTATTTATCTTGTGCCAACTCGTTGCCACAAATTTGTGTGGCATGTGGCAAATCTTCCCGGGAAGGTGAATCCAAGATCTCAGATCAGGCTGCCATCATTCAGGCGCGGACGTTGGTTGAAGTTTCGGGAAAGTTCATGAAATTTCTTGAAAGGCGTGTTCATCAAATTGTAGCAGCCCAGAATCATCACCGTTCACCCCACTTGGATCTGACATCATTTGACATCGGCCCGGCGACATTTCTAATATGAGTGCACTGCAGCTTGCAGCACTGCAAACAGGCCTGTTTTCAGAATCTTGAGGAGGTGCAGCAAAGGTTGAATAGCGACGTGCGGAAGATGCGCTTCTTGGACTGTTTGTTTCTCCAGGTGGAGACAGAGAGGAGAACATCCCCTGGTCCTCACGACATCTATAGTGTTTTGCTCCTTCCTGGCAGGAAGGGGATAACCAAAGGGGTAGAGGGGTTGACAGTGGCCTGTTGAATGCTGGGGTAGCTGCAGGATTTTTCGCTGCAGACGTTTGTCCTTGACAATCGATTTCAACAGCTTAGGCGACATCACCCTCGTGTTCACCAACAGTTGCTCATCCAACAAGGTGCTCCGTTCTGCGCAGTCAGAAAGTGGACATGCATTCGAAAGCGCGCGTGCAACATGCTTCAGGTAAACTTGCTACCAGACGCTCATGTCAAGCCACTTGGTCAGCAGTTCTAGAACAAACCCTTCTCATGCTCATGATATCTCATGATCGAAAATGATGGTTTGGCAATGTTTGGCATCTCGAAATTTGTTTCCTGTACAGCCTGTACCCTTTATCCAAACCCTTTATCCAAACCCTTATAGTTAACCGAGATCCTTCAATGTCCCGAGATCCTTTTTCGAAACGGCTAGCTGCCCCCGCACTGACTCAAGGCTCCTCATTTTCTGTGGGGAAAACTGAGGAACCCCAATCTCCAGCAAAACCATGTCAATCAAACCATATGAATGACACATTTCAATAGATTTCCAACACTATTTGCAGATATTTACAGTACTGTTGAGAAATGTTGAGAATTTTTGATATATTTGAACACGAGCGAGAGAGAGAGAGAGAGAGAGAGAGAGAGACGCATGCAGGCAGGCAGGTAGGCAGAAAGACAGACAGACAGACAGATATATAGACAGAGAGAGAGAGATATAGATAGATAGATAGATGGATGGATGGATGGATAGATAGATTGATTGATAAATAAATAGATAGATAGATAGATAGATAGATAGACACGCGTCGATGCAGCACATCGTTGCCGTCCTTCGCAGCAAGGTTCCCAGCCGATGTCTCTGCTTCCTCAGAGATCTTAAAGTATGAAGTCCTTGCAGCAAAAGGAGGCGGCATTCAGGATACTGCTACTTGGAGCATTTGGAGACGGGTTACTTGAATGTTTTTGATTGTTTTTGCCACTGCTCTTTCCCTGGTACTCAGCAAGTGGGTGCGGATGGCACTCTGATTGTCCGCAAGAAGCTCTGGCCAGTGTTCAGCTTCTCAAATGGATGCGAGATGAATTGCACATACAATTTTGATTAGTAATGTTTCCGACATGGTCTGCCTTGGACTGCATATTGTCAAGGTGTCAGTGAGTACCCACGTGCATGAGCTTTGGCTGCAAGATGCTGCGAGTATATTGCTCAGACCTCGCACGCTGACTTAGAGTGTCCTTGTTTTCCTCTTGTTTGCAGATCAGTTGAGAGGAATTGCAACAGCAGCCCAAATGCAATTGCCACACAGACACACACACACATATATATATATATATGTATGTATAATTTAAGCCTTCGCAAAGTCTAGGTGGCACGCATGTTCACACAGACTGACTAGCTGGCAGTACTAGATTATCTAGATTAGTACTAGTGATCTAGTATAGATTAGTATAGCATATCAGTCAGTATAGTCAGTATAGATATACAGATGATTTGTATTGAATTGTTAGGATCCGGAGTGGAAGTCTCCTGTGCCACCTGTGCTCGGGACGTATCGGGACGTTGACTCTCCACGTGGGTCAAGAATGGGATGACTCGACCTAAGGAGCTGAAGAAGTTCGACAATGGGTCAAGCTCATGGTGCCACTACCTGCGGGGGATATGAATATGAATCCAATCTTTGCCTTAAGCCAGAACACTGAAACATATACTGGAATATACTGGAACATACTGGAACACCAGCATTCCGCAGATCTGATATTGTGGATGCAAGTTCGTACCTTGCGATATTTCAACCCCGGTGCTCAGTTCCTCACTGGGCCTGCTATTTTGAAGCTCAACCCAGCATCCTCAGCGGTCGCAGTTTGACCATTTTTGGATGAAGGTGTGAGGTGATACTGCGGTGGCCAAGACCAGATAACCAGATCACCTGATATGTGGTTCATTGATGTTCATGCTTCGTCTTTGGTGATTCATTCCATCATCGCTCGTCGCTTCCATCTGTATTTAGCGTCAGCTACAAAGAGGTACTGCGACCACAAAGCACCCACCTGCAGCAGGGATTCTGAGGGCCCCCAGGCCCTGCATTTTTGGGTGGTGCTTTGGGTGTGGGGGCTGGTAGGATGACATTAGAGTCTTGGAGTGACATGTCCAGTAGTGGGTCAGCTGGCCTTTGATAGTGTTGCAGTCAGATCTAGAATCTAGGGTGTTTAGAGCGCTTCATCAAGAATCTGTGATTTCATGTGATTTCAATGTATTCAGAAAAACGGTGCGCGGGGGAGCAGCTACTGGAAAGATCTGATCCGGAAAGAACTGGAAGAACATCTGATGCAGGTCCGCTGGAGCTGCCGCTCGTGTGCCTCGGCGCTTTTTCAGTGACTCTGTTGATCAATATGTCCCCAGGATTTCCCCAGGTGACTCTATGTGTTCATATTTTCCTCAGGGATCCTCAGGGTCAATAATGGTGCAATATGGTGAAATTATGGCAGAATGCACCCCATC